TTAAGTGTCCAGAAATTGTTTGTGTCCTTTTGAAGTGTAAGCTTGTTAATAATTGACAATAGTTTATATGAAAGGTTCTGCTGTCTAAACAGACATTTAACACATTAGACAGTAATGGCAGTCACTGTAGTGGAACGTAAACACCTACTTGCAGAATTTGTTACAACAAGCTGTTTCCAAATCCCACACAGAAGAGCACTACAAGTGTTCCTGAATTGTTTTAACTAACACTGAACTGAGGCATCCAAACACATCTTTCCACAATGGCTGCAGAAAATGTTATCTCATCACTCACTGATAAGTAATGTCAGTGTGAAGCAATTTCAGTATACACCAGGTTTCACCTCTGTAACAAGTAGAACTCTACAGCTAATATCACATTCTCTTCTACCTCGTTTTAAATTTTGACATGTAGTTTAATAGCCTGCCTGGGAGCTTGGACCTGGCAATAATTTTGGTATGCCTGAACTTACCCGAGTTGCAATTAATTTTCTTAATGAAAATATCTGGGAGTTTTTTGGTTGGGCTTTGGTAGTGGCGGTGTTTTTTTAGTTTGCCTGGACTGGATTTTTAGGGAGGTTGAGGTTTGTTTTTTTTTATTTGGTTTTTGCCAAAATGAAGAAAGCACAAGTCACAAGCTAGAGGTGAAAGAAAAATCAAACCCAAACTCTTCTAAATACTGTTCTACATAGATTTCATACAGAATGCTATGCTAAACATAGAAGTAGTTTTTAGGAAGAAACAAAATTATCCATCTTCTTATTTAACACAAACTAAAGAAAAATATTTCTGAATTCCAGACCCACAATGATAGCCCTGCCTGATACTAACAGCAGTCCTAAATAAATCACAAGTCACAGCACACGGTAGCTGGCACTGCAAAATGGGATTTTCCCAGGAAAATGTTCTGACACAAGCAAGCTCAAGATACCTTTGAGGTATTTCTGCTTTAAGTAACCAGAACGGAGTGAACCATTTTCATAATGTCAACTTCTGCTTTGCCTGGGACAAGATATTTATTGAGAACATGTTGGAAGATGAATCCTTCCTATTCATCCACACACTGACATAATTAGAGAGCGACTAGCATTGATTTAAGTTTTATTGCTTGGAGGAGTTTTATCACATTAATAGAGAACGAAGCACAATGTCCAAGTTACTTCTCATGTCTTCAAACAAAAAGATGTGAAGCAAGAAATTAAGTAAGAATTCATGTCAGAAGTAAATTAATTTTATGTGCAGTCAACCACCAATACCAATATTACCAAGATTACTTCATCTAGAAAGAGGAAAATGCAGGAACATCCAACAGCTGTTGGATCTTGGCATTAATTTAAAAATACTGAGAGCTGGTTCATTGCAAACTTCTCATGGCTTTGCTCAAGTGTGATAACTTATTTCCATAATCCCACAGATCCAGCCAGAGGTGAGAATCCCATCGATGGATAGGAATCTATAGTTACACTTCAAGTGCTTTATTTGCATAAATAATAAGAGAGTGATTCAAGACGTGATGCATGGGAACACCTGGCTGAGCTCCTTAACACAGTGAACCTTTGCAATCAAGGAAGTTCAGGAAATTCCACCTGAGCACACCTGGCCAAAGCAGCTGAGGCCAGAGGGGGAAAGGGCAGGTTGCAAACACAGGGCAGAGAGAGCTCAGAGCTCTCTGACACTGCCCGAGCCTGGATTTTGCCACACAACCAGTGGCCCTCAGAGCCTGAGCCAAGAGAGGAGCCAGGAGAGCTCAGTCCCCTCCTGCAGCCCAGGGAACCCTTCCACCATATCTGTCAGCTCCTCTGCAGCACACGGTGTTCCCCAGCCATGGGAACATCTGGTACACAGCTGGATATCACAAGGTTTGGCCACCTCTGCAGGCAAACTGACACATTTTGCTCAATTTTCAATCCAATCTTTCCTTAACAGAAATATCATCAATTAAGCTCTGCTGGTGATTTACAAAGAAAATCTGAGTCAGACAAGGCACATTCAGAGACCAACACTTGAAGCTCTGTCCCGAGTTTAATGATGCTCAGCACAGACTTTCATAAATCCCTCTCAACTCATTACCTCTATTACAAATAAGATTACTTTAAAAAGTAAAGTTTTCAGTAGTCCTGCTTCAGCCTTGCATTTCAAATTCCTCACAGTTACTGATATTTTGAGACTGTATAAGCTTGTGATTAAGAAATTTAAAATTTACTTACTTTTCAATTCTGTATAAGCTGCACAAAACTACCAACTGCCATAATTCTTAGGTGGCCTTAATTTTAAAAAATAAGCTAGTTGACTCTTCTTGCATAAGAAGAATAAGGCTACTGGATTTTGTGAGTGTTACTGGCTGCATAGCAAATGCCAACAAATTTGAAAAGCCAGATCAGAATTTGCTAATACCACTCAAGGTCTTGTCTTGGACACAGACACTTCATTTTTAATTATGTCTGACATGGTAACAAGAGCAAACATTCTCAATTAATCCACTGCCTAGGTAACCCTGTCTCTTTACATTTAATTGTTCTTAACAAAAACATGGAATTTGTAAGCTTCCCTGCATATCACATACCTGCTTTATTTAAGGGAAAAGTTTGTAACATGCTTGGCAATTGTTAACCAAAGGGATGTCAGAACTCTTAACACACTTCCAGAAACCTAGTAAAATAACTAACCACAAAATAACAATTAATAGTCTTAACCTTGCATTAATAAATGCATTTTAAATATTTACCTCTATCACACTTCCTCTCAACAGCAAATATCACTGAGCACGTGCAGTCACAAACCAACACCCTTAGCCTATAAAAGTTGAATTTTAAGGAGAACAAATACCTACAATAGAACTGTAATATAAAATTTAAACCAACAACACACATCAGACTGGTGTATCTAAAATATACAGACTTAATTTTCTATATATATCTAACTAGTTTAAATAGATCCTACCACAATCCCCAAACAATCTTTAGCTGAATTAAGATGGTTGTACATATTAAAACTCCGTTAGGGGTACTTTGTTTTCCTTAATAAAACTGGTCTGCTATAATCACGTACTGCCGACGGGCTGAACTGCACTCAAAGGTCAGGGACAAAAGTAATTCCAATGGAAGTGTTACACAAAGGAGATCCCCCGATGAGGCCGGTGTCAGCAATCGGGTTTCTAGGGGAGTGCACGGGAGGAGCAGAAGGGAAAACCTCTGCACAAGAAGCGCTGGGACCAGCGCAGCCCAGCCCCGCAAAGGACACTCCGCTGGACATTTCCCCGGCAGGTTTTAATGTGCAAGGAAGAGAGCGACTTGAGAAAATCCCCACAAGGTACTGCAGCAGATCGCTCTTTCAGAACGAGCTGAATGCTCACTTCCCAAAAAAGGGCTGCTTTGGGCAAACCATCAAGTGACTTTCGGCTCCCACCCTTTATAATCGATCAGCAGAGATTGGCCTGAGCTGAACACACTGTGCTGGCAGAGCGAGCCTCCAGAATCATTATTATTATTATTTTACACAGAACTTTTCTGCCTCAAGAGATACCAGACAGAGGGAAAAGTTTTTCTTCTTCCTTCCTAACCAAAGGAGGACTCCGTGTTCCCGTACTGAACAGACCAAGCACAAAGCACGTATCTGCCAAAGAACGCTCTGTTGGATGGGTCCCGGCTTAAATTCACGCTGGCTCCTCTAAAATAAATCTACATTCCGGGAACGCTTAAATGCACTGGCGTGTGTCCACACCACAGAACGCTGGCAATAAATAAATAAACAAACAATGGATTCTATGTTGTATGTGCATCTGGGTGCAGCGACTGGCAACAATTAACTCTCATCACGTGAAATTTAAAATATCACCGTCACATTGTTTACTTAGCGAGTATTTAAAAGCAAAGTTGACTAAAACAGACTGAATTGTTCAATGGCTGTTTAACACTGCGAACACTCACACCAGGAGCCAGAAGGGCTGTTCTAACTCAGCCTTATCGCTTCAATTTATCCGATTAGTTTTAAACCTACACGGCCTCCAGAACCACCTTTGTAAGCATTCAAAGTAATAATGCACAGTTCGCCACACTTCTAATCACCAATCGCTCGCGAATTCTCGCAACGGGGCCGCACACCGCTGTAGAACGAGTGACAGCCCTACCCTTGCGTCCTTTAACCCATTAATCTAAGGGAAATACAAAAGCCAAAGGAAAGGGGAACGGAAAGCAGGGAAAGAGAAGCGCGGCGCCCCTGCCCCCGGCGGTACCTCCTTGTCGGGCACCCAGGGCGGCTCGTCGAGGCCGAAGGGGCTGCGGGCGGCGCGGTGCTCGGGCACCATGCGCAGCCCGCTCGGGGAGCGCACCAGCTTCTTCGCGTCGCCGCCCGACATCTTCCCCCGCGCGCCGCCGCCGCCGCGGGACGGCCGCCGCCGCCGCCCAATGGCCGCGCGGCGCTGCGTGATGGACAGGGAAGCCAACCAATGGGAAGCAGCGACTCTCTGGCCCCGCCCACACACTCGGGCTTGCCAGCCAGTCCCGTGCACCTTGGCGTGCAAGTCCCGCCTCCTTCGTGCCCCGCAACCCGGAAGCGAAGGGCGCGGGCGCCACAGCCGCGTCCCCGAGTTGCAGGAAGCGGCACACCGAGCCGCGGGGCCTCGCGGCCACGAGGGGCGGCTCCGCAGAGAGCCCTCGGTCGGTGCCGCAGCGCCCGCCCGAGGCTCTGACCCGGCCCCGGGCTCTGACCGGGTCCCGCCGGTCCCGGTGGGAGCGGGCGGGGAGCGAGTGGCGCCCTGCCATTGGCTGTCCCGCCGGGGCAGTCACCGAAGGGAGCTTTGATTGGCTGTGGCGGGAGAGCTGCTCGCTGATTGGCTGCGCAGGCGGCGGGGAATTCGTGAGGGCCCTGTGGCGGCGCCGCGCTCTGTCCGTGTGTCCGCCCGGGTGTCCGTGTGTCCGTCCGTGTGTCCGGCTGTCTGTCCGTGTGTTCGTGTGTCCGGCTGTCCGCCCCTCGCTCCCCGGCCGGCTCCGGGCCCGTAGCACAGCCCTGGCTACACCGTGAGCCGCTCCCGGCGTTTCGTTCTCCCCTGGGCCTCATCCTCGGAGCGGCTCCCTGTGAGCGGAGAGTCCGCAATGGTTTGGAGCCTTTCAGTCAAGGGACGTTGTAATCATGATTCATTGCAGTAAGTTTCGGCTTCTAAACCTTCTCGGAATGTTGCTTTAAATGGGTGTTACTTAAAAGTAACTTGCCTCTCTTAGATTTATCCTGTTATTAGCACCCATCACAGCCTCTCCCCGCATGCTGAAAAAGGGATTGTTCATAAAGTCATATATTCTCACATAACTCCTGGGTGTCTGCTGCAATCCTTCCTAAAGTTTGTCAGAATAATGCTAAGAACCTCTTCTAGGCAGCCATGCGGCTAAGCTGTTGTGTTTCGGACCAAAGTACTAAATGAGCTGTTTAATGTCTTTACAAGAAACAAACAGATTTTAACGATTTCATATTAAATTGGCTTTTAGCTAATAAATGTGTATTTGACTGTCCAATGCATGAATAATCCTGGGTCATCCTAACTTGCTCGCATGTGATTTTTTTTTTCTATTTGAAAATGAAAGCCTTGTGTGAAGACTGACAGGGTAGGAATAAATTACTGTCCAACTTGCTTGTGAGCTGCAGTCCAGAGCAAAAGCACTGTGCAGAATTACAGGCAATTAACACTCCCAGTAGCTCTTAACTGCAGGATTATTGGTTGAATTCTTTAATAGGATAAATGTAAACAGCCAGCAGAGAAGACTTCTGCCAAAGGGTTAGAGAATAGCCAGGGTTGTAAGGGAGCTGTGGAGATCATCCAGCCCAACCCCCTGCCAAGGCAGGCTCACCTAAAGCAGTGACACAGGAACGAGTCCAGGTGTGTTTGGAATGCCTCCAGAGAGGAACACTCCATGGCCTTCCTGGGCAGCTGCTCCAGTGCTCTGCCACCCTCGGTGCAAGAGCTCTTCTTCATCTTGAGGTGAAGCTGAAGGGAGTTTGACACCATCCTCTTGGCACCCACCTCTGGGATTGTGATATGCATTGGTGAGATCCCCTCTCTGTCTTCTCATCAGGGAGATGCTGCAGACCCCTCAGCACCTCTGTGGCCTCTGCTGGGCCCTTTCCAGTAGCTCCTTGTTTTGTACTGGGGAGCCCAGAACTGAACACAGAACTCCAGATGTGGCTTCACTTAGGGCTGAGGAGAGGGGGAGGATCACCTCCCTCAGCCTGCTGGCCACACTCTTCCCATAGTACATTAATATCAATATATAAAATAATAATAGCAATAATTCTCATAATAGCATAATAAACCCAGAATAATTGATACTTCTCTAAGATGGCTGATAAATATATTGTTAAAAATAGGAAAAAAAAACCTGAAAACTTTTGACACTGATTTATGCCTATTTTTTCTTGCCTGTGTCTGTGATAAAAGCCACTGTAATCACAGATAATTATGGGATGTGCTGCTCACTGCTGTGCTGTGTCAGGAGATGGACTGGGACCAGTTTGACTTGAACCCCAAAACAGTTGCTGCCCTGAAAAAAGGTAATTTAATTTGCCACTGTCTGTCACCACAGTGACATCCTTGACGTAATTGTGTGTTTGTGGGTATAAGCAGGCAGATGGACACTAACATTTTAGAACCATCATTAAGTGTTTCATGAAGAAGTTTTTTGATTAATTAAAAGTGTTGTGTTTTGGCCATGCTTCAATAATAAATTTCCAAACAATTTTACAGCTTGTGTTGGTACATTCCACGTGAGTGTTGCCTGCCCACTGTACAAGAATGCAGCACAGATAAACCTCAAGTAAATGAGAATTACAAACTGGGAAAACTTTACTGTGTAAGACAGCCAAAAGTATTTATAAAAATTCCTCTTGTTTCAGCTGACATAAAATCAGTAAAAGAGATTTTAAACCTGTCTGGAGCAGACTTGCAGAGATTGATGAAGCTCCCCAGTGCAGACATCCAGTGCCTGCTGAAAACAGTCTCTCACACACTGAGGAGGAACAGCATGCTCACAGGTAATGCAGTCAGGGCATAAAAAGGCTTCTGTCTAAAGCTCAGAATAACTGTCACTGGGAGAAAATGGGGTTCTGGCTCCTTAATGACACAGAAATGTGACTTTGAAATGAGAATGGAAAGGACAGCTCCCCTGGGGGTAAATGGAAGTGATTGTGATTGGGTGTCATTTTTCAGGATTAAGGCTGCTTGAAAAGGGACAAATGTTTCTCCAGTCTGAAGCACTTAGATACAGGAACAGAATATTTTCTTTTTCTTTCACAGTCTCTTCCCCTCTCTCACTATTCTTTTTTTGGACTAAGACTAGTTGAAAAATTCATATCATATATTAAAAGCCTTGTAAACTGATTTTTCATAAACACCTCATTCCAAATAAGAAAGACCTAATAGTTTCTCCTGTACAAATTCTTAATGACAACTCTGTATTTAAAATCTATTTTCTTGTGATTGCATGAGTCTTCAGGCTTCGACCAGATGCCTTCTGTGCTATTTTATACTCTGCTATAGCTTTCTATTTCCATAATGGCTGTGCTTGAAACTGCTGTCAAAATCCTTTCTGAGTGTAACTTTCCTCAGGGCATCTATTTTGTATCATTGTGTGCTGGAAAAATAATAAATAAAACTACCTTTTTCTTTTCTTTTTTCTTTTTTATTTTTTTTTTTAATAAATAAAAAACACTCCCAAACCCTGCAGCACTTCAGCTCTACCAAGATAAAGATAATTTCCCCTCCCAGCACCAGAGGCTGAGCCTGGGATGTTCACTGCTGGACAACTTGTTAAAAGGTGGCATTCCTTTAGTGGGAATCACAGAGCTTGCTGGGGAGAGTTCTGCTGGGAAGACTCAGATTGGTTTACAGCTGTGCCTGTGTGTGCAGTATCCTCACAAGTATGGTGGATTGGAGTCTGGTAAGTGCTGAACTGTAAACTTGGATTCCTTTCCCATTTCATGGAATAGACTGTGTCTGTCTTTAGGAACCTTATAAAGCAGGTGCACTGTTCAGTGCATGTCCAACTTCAGTAGGAAGCCAGTTAGTGAGAGAGGTGTCTTTACAGAGAGAAAAGCTTGCTGTGCACGTCCTGCAGCACAGCATAACCTAATTCAGAATTACTCTTGGCTGTTGTTTGCCTGCCTGCCCCTCTGGGTTAAACTAAACACACTCTCAAACAATGTAAGAAAATTGTCATGAGAGCCCATTGACTAGTCAGGTAAGCACCTCAGCAGAATAGCTCAGCAGGTAAGTTTCTACAAACATCTTGGGTACATGGAATATATTCCCTAGCTGAGGTTTTCAAATTTCAAAGATTATTTGTTTTTATAACATTAATTGTACTGATTTACAGAGTAAAATAGATGGAAATGTAATTGAAGAAAAGTAATAGTGTTTTGTACCTGTGGTTTTCCTGGCTTTACCAAAGTATACAGGTTTATTCTTTAATTTGAGTATGTTTTTTTTACCCTTCTGTCATATTAATCTAACTCCTTTTTTTTTCTTTTTTATTATTGCTGCTGTAGAAAGGGAGGAAACCTGTGTCACTTCTGAGAATTCTGGTAGTCTGCCTTAGGTGTGTTTTGCCTGTGACCTTGCTGTTCCTTCCACACAGCACTGGCTTTATCTGGCAGCTCACTGGCTCCTTCTGGGGAAACTTACTAATTTCTTGAACTATATCCACCCACGTGGAAAAATCATCGACTGTACAAATTAAGATCTTGCTTAAAGAGCTCAAAAGGGCTGTGAGTAGCCCATGGTTTACATTCTATGATGCCATTAATCAGAGCAGAAGCAATTGTATTTTGTTCTGTTTCTTTGTGTGCTGCTGCTAACTGCTGCACATAGTTTGAATACAAGTACATTTTTATCCATGCTTCAGCACTTCTTCCTGTTTGTGTTGAAATCAAGGAACAGAGGTAGAAAGGAAGGTGCCCAACTATTGGCACTCTTGTGTTGAGCCTCCCACGAAAAATACAGCAATTAAAGCTTAGGTTACATGTGAGGAGTTTTAGCCTTTAGGAAACTTGAAGAGAACAGCAATGCTTAGAAACTCTCACAGAACTCTGCACTACCAGTAGAAAATTTTGCTACTGATTTAAAATTATGGTGCATTGTATTTTTTTACTCATTAGAAACTTCCCTTTTCATAAGTGGTGGTGTTGAAATACATTTCTTTAAACAGTTACTTCATTAAGTTTAGTGCTAGTCTTTTTTGTAATTCTCAGTGCATGGAGGTTGGCAGCAAAGAAATCCTGAAAGTAAACAAGGCCTCCTTTGCCTCCAGGATATCTTTCTGCTGTTGTTGGAATGTCAGTTGTGTTCAGTTGTGTTGGCTGAATTTATTTTATATGCCCATATTCATAAGTAATATGTGAATATAATGGGACAAATTAATATCCATATTGGAATTCTGAATTAGAAAATAATGTTTGCTACTGATTCTTGGTAACAACCTGTTTTTTTGATGACAGATTATAATAATAGGAATAAAAATTTGTTCTTTTTGAGGTTGAGGGGTGTGGCAGCACATTTCTTTCTCTCTCAGGATTTTTCATAGAGGTGCACAGAGAGAGAAAACAATTTCTATTTCTGCTCCTTGTTTTTTTCATGTGGAATGTGCTTGGAGAATTGTTTACCTGGTTGATTGCTTGATTGGATTTTGGTGAGATTGTTTGAGTCTGGTGGCCAATCCAATCCATCTGTGTCTGGACTCTCGGGGACAGGGTCACAAGTTACAAGTTAGTTAGAGATAAAGTTAGAACAAGTAGGTTTTGTAGTTTTTAGTATCTTCCTTTATATAGTATATTAATGTATTTTAACATAATTATAATAAAGAAATCATTCAGTCTTCTGAATTGAATCAGACATGCTCATCTCTTCCCATCAGGTTTGCCTGCATTTATAACAGAGGGGTTTTAATGGGTTTTATTCCTGTTTGGTTAATTTTTGGTGGTATTTTTTTGTCAACAACCAGCATAACAGATTTATTGGCCCGAATAACAGATTTGTTGAAATTTCTGATTTCTGTATGGGTGTTGTTGGACCTGTGACTGTGTTTTCAGTGTCCTGAATGTTGCAGTAACTCTGGATCAAAATACAATTTTTTAATCAATGGAGTATCAATCTATCTAGAAATGCAAACCTGCATCTGGAAGAACCCTAGTGACTATGAAATCTGAAGAAATGGACATTCCACCCTTTTTAAGTAAGCCAAGGAGAGGACAAGTGACATCCTGCTTAAGGCAGGTCTGGCTTTCAGAAAGCAGACCTGTGAGCCCAGAATACATGGCAGAGAAATCCCTGTCTTTCAGCATTAAAGCAACATTGTGCAAAAGGCAGCCAGTTTAAGTAAGCATGGTAAGCATGGCCAGAATGTTTTACTTAGGAGCTGTTGTCTCAGGACAAGTTACCACAGGTTTTTTAGCATGAAATTCACAGTGCTGTGTGAAGCAGGCAGACTGTGCAGTGTCACTCTGTGGGGTGGATAAAAGGTGATCCCCATACTCCTGATCCCCAAGGGCAGGTGATCAGGTACTCCACAGCTGTGCACACTGAGTGTCACCCAGTGGAGAGTACAAAATCCAGTTGTCCCAGCTGGTTCTGAAGAAAGGACCAGGCAACTGCAGGAAAGTCTCATTGATAGAACGTGGTTGCAAAATAACCAAACAAACATGAATTTCCAGGTCTGTATGTGTAGCTTTTAAATGTGTGTGGTGTAATTTGTGTGCTGTTAAGAAAACTGCATGTGTAAGAGCCCTGTGGTTTCCTTGGCTACAGGAGCTGTCTACATTTGTACAGAAGATGTGTTCCCAAGCAAACGTTTGCAGCAGCTCATAGATCAACAGCATAAGCTGCGTGCAGATGTTCCAGCTGAAATCATACAGAAGATCAGATTTGGAAACAGTATTTTTGTTGAGCAGGCAGCAGACCTGGTAAGTAGTAGCACAAAGAATGTTTCTAAAAGTCTTGATCAGTATGGATTTGAGGCAGTATTTTACTGTTAAGGGGTCATTACGGGAAGAGCAGCACAGTTTGTAACTGGTTTGGAACACTTAATGATAGTCTCATGTCCTGAGTGTTTCAGTGAGGACCACTCCTTCCCCAGGCAGGCTGAGAAAGCTGTGGCTGTTCAGCCTGGAGAAGAAAAGGTTGTGTGGGGACCTCATAGGAACCTTCCAGTGTCTGAAGGGACTGCAGGGAAGCTGGAGAGGGACCCTCTGTCAGGCCACGTAGACAGGGCAAGGGTACAAATTGAAAGAGGGGAAATTTAGATATAAGGAAGAAATTCTTTACTATGAGGGCGCTGAGATACTGGAAGAGGTTGCTCAGAGGAACTGTGGAGGAACTGTGGAGTGGATGCCCCATCCCTGACACTGTTTAAGGCCAGGCTGGATGTGGCTCTGAGCAACCTGGTGTGGTGGGAGATGTCCCTGCCCATGGCAGGGGGTTGGGACTGGATGATTTTGAAGGTCCATTCCAGCCCCTTAACCTTATATAATTCTATCAAAACAACAGTTTAGGAGTGTAGTACTACACCCTTGAGATTTATAAGTATCAGTGAAGTCAGAGCTGCAGATAAATGCAGGTTGCAGTTTTGTCTCTTCCATCTTCTCTCCAGTAAAACCACCAGATGTGGTTACTGGTGAAACTTAGAGATGCACCAGCTGCCTTCAAGATCTGAAACTCCCTGAGCTCGTGCTGCAGCGGTGACTGCTGTAGTTCAGTCTGTTGGTGTCCCAGCAGGGTCCTTTGCCCTTTGTCACTGTCCCTGTGTGTGTGGCAGGACACCTTCCAGCAGTGCATCACGAGGAGGCTGTCCCTGCTGCTGGCTCGGGGCATGGTGCGCCTCGTGGTCATCGACTCCATGGCCGCCCTGTTCCGCGGCGAGTTCGGCCCTGCCGAGGCTGCTCTCAGGGCTCGCTACCTGCAGACCTTTGGGGCACAGCTGCACAGCTTGAGCACCAGGTTCAGGACTCCCATCGTGTGCATTAACCAGGTATGGTATCTCATTGCTTCTTATTCTGTAGGGACTGTTTAACGGCTGGAGTAAATTAAATTCTGTGTAAATGCAGATTTCATGGTGATGTGTGTATTTACCACTGTCAGCTGACTATTAATGACTGATGGAAACTGAAGCTTCCTTAAACTGATGTCTTTTAATAAATGTTAACTACTCAAAGTTTATTATTTAAGCTTTTGTAGGCTGTTAATGAAAGTTGTCCACTAAAGCTAACAGAAATAGGTATGTATAGCAACTGCACAGAGCATCAAAGCAATTACAGAATTCTTTCTTACCACTGTCTTCAAATACCATTGTCAGGAGGATTGCTCTGGGAGCTCTGCAGGCAGTTATATTCCAGGTGACAATGAAACCCCAGGGGCTTTGCTGTTTCTGTGGAACTCAGCACTTTTGTGTAACTGCTGAGATTACCGAAGCACTAAAGTGCATGCACTGACTTGGGCTGCATCAAAACAAGGCCACAATGATACTGGTCACAAAGAGTGTTTTTTTGAGAAAACAAGGCAAGACACTGCTCTTAGTCCACTCATAAATTGAAGGAGGATCTGAATGCCAGAGGTGGAGCATTCACACTCCAACGTGGCCTTGGGAAGGGTTAAGTCACTGTGCAGGCAGGCCACTGAGAAACTTCAAAGGTAGTGAAATCATTGAGAACAGGGCACTTTTGGGAGATCTGGGCTTTTGTACTTTTTATCTCCAGTTACAGCATTGGAACAGTTTTGTCAATGTGGGGGGTTGGTTTGTGGTTTGGGTTTATTTTTTAATAAGGCATCTAGTAGTTGTTTAATTAATGTAAGCTGTAGTTTGCTAAGTAGTTCTAACACAGTAAACTCAGCTTGTGATTCCCAAATCCATTTTAGTTTGCCTTGAAAGGATGTTTTCTAACTTGCCTTAATATATGCTCGGATAACTTGGATTTTCTTGCCTTGGTTCCCCTCCCTGCCCTCCTGCTTGCTGAATACAAACCCAGAACCCCAGGTCAGCTGCAAACCTGTTTTTGTGCTTCAGGTGACGGATGTGGTGAGTGAGTCGGAAGCTGCTCAGTGCAGTTGTAGGTGAGTCACCCACACAGTGACAATGTCAAACACAGCAACTCGGAACCACTCTTATCTTTATCACTCCAGGGTAAGCTACAAGATCATGTGAGGAGCACTGGGGCATTTACCCAGCAATGCTGGATTTGCTGGAGATCAGCACTAGCTCATGCTCTAAGGGGAAGAAACTGGCCTATACATTTACCTCATAATTCCTAATCACATGTTAGCAGGAAAAATTCCCTGGGGTTAATGGCTTGAGTACCTGCTGACACAAGAGTATTTTTGCATCTTGTCTTGTTTTTGATGTAACTGCATGCACCTTCTGTCTGCTCAAAAAATATAGCAACCAAACCCTAGCAGCTAGTTTTGTTAGTGAGCTAAGAAAACATGCAAAACAGCATCTTCTGACACCAAGATATTAACAGGATTCAAATGTATATATTTTTTGTTTGAATCCTAACTATAACCTTGATTTACTACATAAGTTGGGTGCTACATAAATGGGTGTCTGTGAAAAGTTCACTGTGTCCTTCAGATTCTGGAATTGACACAGAACAAGGATAAGGTTCAATTATCATTTTTGCCTGGTTATCTTGTATTTCTTTTACTGGAGAAATCACACTTTTTCCAGAAAAAAATTGTTTTAAACCTTGAGTTAAAAGTCGCATATATGCAGTGTTCTGTTTACCATGCATTTCTAAATATACTTGTAAATGGAATCCAAGGCCAACAGTTACACACTTCAAATATTAGAAGTTCAGCTATTTTGTCTTGTGGTTTTCCTGTTGCAAGAGAGGCCTGTGCAGGTGGAGGTAGGTATTCCCCCTAGCCGTAGTTGAAAGAATGACAGCTGTTCTCTACAGAAGCACTTCTCCAGCTGTTTCCTTGCCACGGGGATAACCTAAGTTTTGTGAATAAACCCTGTCACCTCTGTCTTCAAAGACCCATAGATTTCAATATATGTGAGAAACAATAAATGTCTTCTAGTGCAGTTTTGTTACAACAGAAGGTATTTCATATGAAATCATGCATGCAGAAATGTGTCACACTTCCCTTACAGGGTAGTGGGTAGCAGAGTCACTCCAGCACTTGGAATAACCTGGTCCAATCAGCTGCTGATGAGACTGATGGTCAGGCGGGTCTCCCTGCCCGGACACTCACCTGGAGCTGCGTCACACTTCGCTGGAAGCAGGAGGACTTTAAGTGTTGTTTTTGCTCCTCATCTCCCTCCATCCTTTTGCTACTATACAGTACAGTTGGAAGGTGTGAAAGGAACAAAGTAACACTTTTGCATAGTAAAGTGTCGTGCTCCAAAAATGTATCAGGACTGCTTCAGGAAGAATGACCAGTGAAATGCAATTCTTCCTGGATGAGAGAAATTGCAGGTGAAGTACACGAACAATGGTATGGCTACATTTAGCCTTGTCTGCATTGTGAAAGATGGATCTTTTTACACTTGGATATTCAGCTTTTCCTTGTCAGATGAGTGTCCTGAAGGCTCTGAAGGAAAGGGAAGCTGTGAGCAGGGGAAGGCTGCACAGTGGAGTGGGATGTAGTAATCCCCATGATGGGGGAGACCTGATGTCTAATTTTATTTTAATAGCATGCTCATCCTGAAACAGCATTTACTGTAGTTTTGTAACCTGTTTCCAGACCCAACAGGACTTGAAATTCAGCCAGTTTATGTTGCCTGCTGGTGGTGTTGGGTCTCATGCTGTCAATTAAGGACAGCCATTTCTTGTCACGAAGCAGCTGTCCTATTTTAAAACCATTTGCTATTAAGATTTTAAAGAAAATAATCCAATAAAGGTACTTTATTTTACCATCTTACTGTAAGAATTAAAATTGCACTGCCTTTGTACTAGATGAGTGTATCTAGCTTCATAGCACTCTTAAAGATTTTTTATGGTTCATTTCCACTGTTTTCCTGCTTTTTAGTCCCTTCCCTTCAGAGCAAAGCCCTCTTTAGTCTCTTACTTGAAGGACGGCAAACCACATTCCCCATCCCCTTGTTCTCTTTGCCCATTGCTGAAGCTGTGTAGCCTCAGGGCAAGGTCTCTGTTTTCTTCCTGATGCTCTACCCTGCTTGCTGTTTTGCTGGATCAGCATTCTTCATGGGCTTCTGGATTGCTGCCTCTCTTGTCCTGTGTCCCTGCTGCTGGGCTCTCAGCTCTGCCATGATCCTAAAGGGCACCTTCAGTTCTTTTCATCATTCAGATGCTATTGCTTTTCTGAGGTGACTTTTGGTGTTCAGTTACAGCTTCACGTGAGTTTTCTTCCCATCTTTTTGCTATTTGTCACATTTTTCTGCTGTCCTCAGACCACTGCCATGACATCCACTCTTCCTGTGGCTGAATTTTCCCCTAGCTCTGTTCTGTGTGACAGCAAGCCAGGTGAAGTTACACTGCCCAGAGGCCCCTGTTCTGTGGGTGCCTGCTCTCCTCAGTGAGTGATGCTCACTTGTGTCACACTCTCATCAAGCTCTCCTGTTTCCCCTCCTCCTGCTGCTGGCCCAGACAAGAACTCCACAGTGTTTCTGTGGTGTGACACTGCTCAGGTCTCTTTTGGGCAGGAACCCTGTGTTTGTGAAACAGCTGCCTCCTCTGCCTTTCCCCAGTCACACTCCTTCAGGACATTCATCCATCTTTCCATGTGGAAGCAGGCAGCTGGGTAGCTGAAAGGGAAAGTTTTGTCTGGCTGTAAACTGCCTCAGCTGGAACTATGGCAGATTTCTCATGGGAAAACTGAGTATGACTTAAGGAAAAGAGACCCTGTGGGACTGCCTGGGGAAGATCCAGAGTAGAACAGGCACAGCTTGAAGCTGAAGGAAGGAGACCATAAGCAAGCAGAAAGGATGAATTGCTTTCAGTGGCTCCTGCAACCCCTTCAGGTGTCTCAGGGGCTCTTGTGCAAATAGCACAAGTTGTGTCTAAATAATTTTCCTAAAATGTCTTAATTCTCTGTATTTGGAAATGACCTCACAGCTTATTTCAATAAAACCCAACCATGAAGCTTAGAAGCCTTTGTGTACTCAAAGGAAAAAGTGAGAATGCCACAGCTCAGAGGCAGGGCCACCTCCTCCTCCAAACCCTTACCTTCTCTGCCTCCTCCTTAACAACTTCAGTAAAGATCAACTAATGCAGTACAGGTAACACTCCAGTTCTCTTCTGTTCCTGCCCTGTGTATCTGGGCTGGAACTGCAGCCAAGGAATGTTCATCCTATTGTGCTGACTGGGAAAAGCAGCCACAGAGATGTAGCTGATTAATGGGAGTCATCAAACCCTACCTGGATATTCATTTACAGAAGAGCCTCATCAAATGCTGGGCTGCAATCCCAGGAGTTTGCCTCACTGTGAGCCATGTCCAGAACAGTGTGGCACCTCCAAATGCTCAGTCTGTAGTATTTTGACCACTCTTCTTTGCAACTGCTTGCTGGAATGGTCCCGAAGTGTTAAGTGTCACAGATGGGTCTGCAATCAAAGTTCTAGTTTACCTGGTGAAAAACACTCTTAACCAACAGACAGAAGTAACATTTTGCCTACTCAAGTGTTCTGTCATTACCCCCTTGGTTTGTTGGTTATTTCTCTTCAGCTGAGTCAGAGGACATTACAGTTTGTCTCCTGGCTTCTGAGCACACACAAACCCTGAAATATCAAATGCAGCTGAGCCCCACTGAGGCTCACAGCCAAGACTCCATAACTGCAGTTCCTGCCCCATCCCTCAGTCCCACCCCCAAGCACAGCCCAGGATGTCCATGTGACCCAACGGCAGCTTTGGGGCTGCAAACCCTCCCAAGAACACAACACAGTACCCCTCTATTGAAGCCTTGTGTCAAAAGTGTTGAAATGTGTGTAAGTTTTAATAAATGCAATTTAAGAACCTTCCCTTTATAGAGCTTTATTCATCTTTGGGTTTCACAACTGAGATTTGTATTCTATACAAGAAAAAAAATGGAAGTAGTTTTTACAAAGAAGATTTACAGTCTAGAATGCATTAAGTCTTTAACCCGCAAGACTACTTAAATATTCTTCTACACTTGGAAAATAAATGTTAAATGACACTTGAGAAACTATGGTTCCCTAAATATTTCTCATTTACAAGCAGATGTAACCAAGGAAGTGTTGCAACTTCACTGTGAGCACAAGCACGCCCCCAGCATGGGCCTCTGGACCTCTACCAGACCCCCACACTCCGTTTGGCTTCTTGCTTTGTTGTTTTTTAACAACTGACCTTAGCTATTCAGTGTAGTGGCACAATTGTGAATGGTTTTAGGGGAAAAAATAATCCCATGTAGATGTTTGAGACACTCCTCAATTCTAAATATTTACACACACACACAACCCCTCTTTGTACTTCTGTAAATCGATGACAATGAAACTAAACTTGTCAGCATCACATCTGTTAACATTTATTCTCTCAGAACAGACTAACATGACCCAAAATGTCACTCTCTTAGCAGCCTTCAGACACAACACGTGACCTACGTAACAAAAACCAACTAGCATCAACTACTGTAAACACAACTGCCAATGCAGCACTGCACACACCTTTTACCAGGTATTTACAACAGAACCACACCATTTACAAAATCTCTGGTTTCAAATGATAGAATTTAATTACAAATACTTCTCAAGCTCAAAACCATTTTAATTTACTAGGATTCAGGAGCTCTTGGGGGATGAAGGTGTCATTTATTGTAAGAAAAAGTACAAACTGTAGATAACTGACCCTTTTTGCATTGTGTAAGTGAAGACACACCACAACAACAGGTCAGTTACTCCTCCAGAAGAGGAGCAAATCATGAAACAATTACATTTTACAAGACTATTTAGTAAGATCTAAACTCAAGCCCAAATATTACTAATATAGCACACAGCCAGAGACAGAAGGGCAGCAGGCGCCTTTCTATCAGTAACAATTCCATGTACAAATTCATCCCACATCCTGCTGTACTCCCAGACTCACCACTGCTTGTGGGAGAATCTGAGGCCTAACATGGAGCCCTCGTTACATTTTTATTCAAGTTCACCCTTAAAACTTTAGTCAAGGACAAAAATGCCAGATTAAAAACACAACTGCACTACCAAGGTTGCAGTTTTCCTAACAAGGTATCTGTCAATTTTGAAGGTCTTTTCCAGTTTTGTGTTTCATCAAGAGTTGTTGATGTAGTTTGGTGCTGAAGACATCCCACAATTATACAACTGGATATTCTGGATATATTCTTTATGCAGACTTAGCTGTAACTACAACCTTACAAAAGAAGATCCAAAAAGAAAATCTTGTGTAAAAGTGAACTGAGAAGCCCATCTGAAATGTAAATGTATATAAACCATGTCCTGACAGTAACTCATCCATGCTTCAAAAACAGGGACTGTTGACTTTAATTTGGTTTTTGGTTTTTAGAAGTTCTCAAACTTCTAACAGCTCAGTGACTCCTAACAATGTGGACTTGGCCATTATTCTCAAGGATTTATGGGTTAAAGAAGTCTTTAAATTTGTTTCTTCTCAGAAAAAAAATGAACTTCTTAAATTTAAAAGTTGTTTAATATGCATTAGCTCAACAACTTAACCTTCCATCATGTTTTAAAATATATAAAGGATTAAAACATTCAGAAGCACAGTATTAGTAATGCCACCACCAGCAATATCTTGACCAGGAAAATTCCCTCACTATCACCATACCACATCCTGCACTTTGAAACTTACTGTACATTGTCATTTGGCATGGTTACATAATTTATTGCTTATTTACACAGGGTTGGGGGTTTGAGGAGTTACAAAAAATCATTCCGCTTCAAAGCTGAAAGATGAATGTGGGAATCACATCCTTCAGTCTAAGTAAATTCCTTACTACCAAAACAGTTTTGTGTCTGAGTAGTTCTGTGGGTATTTTTTGGAAGCCAGACTCCAAGTGGGGTGGGGGCTGCACATGGGCACCCCTGGCCTGGCACCTGACACGGTTCTTTCAGCAAATCCAGCTCAGTCTGCCTTTGTGCAGAGAGCCCAGTTAGCCAGCAGGGCACAGAGCACGTTTTACTTTAGGAGGGGAAAAAGTATATATATTACATTTTTTAATATAAAAAGCTCTTAATAAAAAGATTAAAACTCAAGAGTCAACATTATATGAGTATCTATTGTTAAGATAACCGAGCAACAACCTGTTCCTGCTCGAGTTCATTAATGAATTGCACTACGTGCTAAAACTTCTACAAAATTATTAGCAGCATCATCTCTCACCATTCCTACACTGTCTCTAGAGCAGGTGCACCACGCACAGCTTCCTTTGCAGAGATGCTCAGAAGGTACCTCCTGGTAAACATTGTTAAGTGCATTACACAGACAACTT